TATCGTCTGTAAGATATTTTCAACCTGTTCAAGTAGGTGCTCAAATTCGTGCTCCAGGATTAAAAGTGATGACGTCACGAGGCATAGAAAGGGTGTGGGTCCCCATGGGCGCATACGGGCGCACTGGACGTCAATGGGTTAAAGCAAGGAGTGCATTTGAGACCTACAGTTCTGCATAGCTATGTGGGAAAGATTTGCCAAGTTAGGTTTTGTTTTCAAAAGATGTTTGAATTAACTTTAAACTAGCATCTGATAGAGATTCTTTCAGCTTTTTGTAAGGCTAATCAGTATGATTTCTCAGTAGAAAAAGAAAAAAACAATATATTTGTTTTCTTTGCAAATAGGTTCACACTAAACATGTCTACTGTCCTTCACTGTACACATATGTCAGACTTTCACTCCTAAGATCTCATTAGCAATTCTTCCAACTGTCTGTCATACAATTATAATGAGTTAAGTTTAGAGAATCTGGTATTGAAATCAAGTAATAATTCAAGAATTGATGTTTTTCTTTATTCTCACCACTTGCCTGCTTAATATTGTATTAATAATCTATGGAGAAATTCTGTCTTGGTCAGTTGTGGGAGTTAATGAGTTGATTTAAGAGACCTGATCTGCTTCCAGATGTCTTTATTAACCTTTAAATTCCTAAGTGGTTTGTGCTTGTTTTTCTGTTCTTAAAATATCCATTTTAATTTGATAGTTTATCATAGATTTGATAAGCAGATTTATTTTTACAGTCACGCAAAACAGGCCACTGAGCTTATTAATGACTAAACACATTATTTCCATCTGTGGTGCATTTTATTATTAGGAATTTAATTAATGTATTTAAGGCTAGAAGGGGTGTAGGTCTCAATTGTGCTTGTTTTTTAATTGTAGTAAATGTAAACTTGTATTTTAAAAAGCTAACTGACATTTTCCTAAAAGCTGCTAGATTGTTGCAATAGGATCTCGTGATTCTAAATTTTCATCGTGGTATATTAAGTACTCGTCAATCAATTAAGTACATCGGACCTGCATGTCGAAAACATCTGAAAAATGCCATTTTTGGGAAGCTGTCTCTAATTCTAGTGAGAAGCTGCAGGTATTGTTACTGTGAAATATCTGGTTAGAAACTGGACATTTTCTGTATGGTGTAGTCTGACCCTCAGCTTTGAGTACATTCAGGTAATGTTTTGAACCTGTTTTATGTTATTTTAAACTCAACTTTATCAAATTTTTCTGAAAGAAATTCATCCTTTTGATCCAAGTATCTTGCACTTGCACTTTCTGTTTGTTTGTTAGACTTTTTACTACGTATTGACATTTTTCATTATCACTTACACTTAAACAAATAATTTTAACATCATGAGGTGTGTTCATGTGTAATTTTTTTCAGATTTATTCACTTCCCTTTGGGGGATTGTTTTTGTATTAAAAACATGGTTTTTAAATCTTTATAATTTCCACCACAGACAGCCACAATTATTCATTATCCTGGTTTACCGTAAACTTCAAAGTCTCGAATCAGGGTTTTTTTTTGTTTTAGTTAGGAGTAACTGTTTTTAACCTCGCAGCGTGAAAAGTCTTACATACCTTCCTGTGACGCTTCGGTATAATCTTATAAAGAATTGCTGACAACATATGAAGTGGTCGTACTTACTATTTGTATGGCAACTTTCTGACAACTTCTGTCACGGAATTAGGCGTACGCAAACTTGATTTACTTGGGAATTGATAACTAAACATTTCACAGCTCGAAGTCTGGTCTTTTGTCCTATTTGACTCCCAGATTTTCATTTTACTGCTCATGATAATTTTGACCTCACAAGTTGATCTTGTTTCGTTACCAAAATGCTAGTGAAACACAAGCACTATCTGCTCGGGAAGACCTTGTCCAATGGCTGATGAATTTGCTATTTATAAATATCTTAAGCAAATTGGATTCAGTCCTTTATTTCGCTCGCTGATCCAGTGGTGAAACTTTGCTGACGAGAACTGAATTAAGTTTAGGCGAATTTCAAGCAAATAGGAGAGTTTGATGGTGCTGACAGATTCCATCAAACTGAAAAGAAGAAACTTTGCCAAGTCACTTGTTTTTAAAACGCATTTTTAACTGATAGGAAAGCTTCATGTGTAGTTTGGACGTAGGCTTTCTGTTTGTGTGATTGCATGAGTTGCCTTCTAAAAGATAAAAGAATTGGCACAGGCCAGAATTAATCCACATCGACCTTGTGACTTCTGTCCGTCGATACTTAATCCTGAATTTGTAGTTAATTAAGGATTAGGGACCCAGAGAGTTTAACACTCAATGAGCTCTCTTTAGTGACTAGTAAAGACTAAGAAATCTTTTGCTCAAATACATGGTTCTTGTAACTAACTGTTCGTTATTTATTCGCTAAAAGCAGTTCTTACTCGGAGGTAAGGTAATGTTATGAGATTAGAACTAGAGTCCCCGCCAAATCGTCTTTGTATTTGACTTATCGCACACGATTAAATAGTAACGCTTCTCTTTGAGCAGCTCTGTTGAGCTTAAGGGTGTCTTAACTTCTTTTAGCTAAATCCATTGTAGGCTACATGATACATCTCCCGTGACCTTTAAAGAAATATTTGGCGAACTGACGATTTTTCAGTTGTGTTGATTGAGTTTTTCGACTTTCAGAATTCATTAAAATATCGTCAAGTGTAGTGTAGCGTTATCCAATATACCGTATACTCAGTGCTTTCTTCGAGTGCCGGTTTTAACACTGAAAAACAGTTATTTTTCGTTGACAACGCTTGACCTTAGGCCAGAATGGCTCAGAGGGTCTAGCAGTTATCAAATTTTTTAGGGTTTCTAGTCATTGAGCCGGGCGTGTCAGTTGGGGTTTGTATGAACCTCTTAATCTTCGTGACGTGATTAACACACTAAAAACTTCAACCTTCACTTTATTATCCAGAAAAATGGTGGGTGTTACTGTGTATTTTGACGTTACAATAAATTATCGTAACTAATTTTTTTTTGAGTAAGTGAAAAGTAGCTAGGAGAGAGAACTTGCTCATCAGATACAGAGAGCAATAACTTTAGAAATAGTATGAGTGAACGCTCGAGCAGGAAAGATCATTTAAATTCAATTTGACAGATGTTACAGCACTAATAATATCGGAACACTAGAAAGATCAAACTGCATACTAAATGGATAACTTTGACCAAAGCATAATTTCATATCTTTACCAAGCAGTAAGCTTTGACGTGGTCTAGAGCCAGTCTTAACTCATGCTGGTGGACAATCAACACTAACTCTTGGGGCAACTGTTGGATCTCACCATGTGTTCTGTAATGAATGTTCTTAATGAAATGTTTAAGTCTAGGCTTGGTTTCCAAACGTAGATTATACTTGTTGGATTGTTAATTGTAAGCTTCACGGGTCCAAGGACCATCGCATGCTTAACAACGTGTTAATTTGGTATCATATATGTGCTTTTTGCAGGCACTGTCTGGAGGTCTAAGCATGGAAGCTTATGTTGCCCTCCATCAGGCTGATGAATTGCAAGGAATAATCAGTGAAATCAAGGTTGGTCAAGAAAATTGAATTTATTACTTTAAAGTTTGATTGGGAGCCGTACACTGTTCTGTTTTCCTATTCAGATGAGAAAGCGTCATGTTTCTGTTCATTGATTTGCTTTCCTCGTACCAATTAAATTTCCCTAGGAGACGAGAGTTATTAAAACAAATACGCAATAATCTCAAACAGGTGTGCATCTTTGAGTTGGCTGTATGTCACATTTTTGTATTCGTCGATAAGTCAGAGAATTTTATTTCATACGTGACTCGTTGTAAATGGTAAAGTGTCCCTCCGTTGTGGTTTAGATTCGATTTGCGATCCTGGCATCACATGTAGGTTAATTATGTTGCTCTTCTTTTTCTCATGGAGTGTTCCTTGGTTTTACTTGTTTTCTTTCCTCGGCAAGAACTAACACTCTAAATAACAGTTTAACTTGTATTATATCGGAAGATGATTTGCTTGATGGATGTCCGCCGCTGAATTTATACTAATTTCATAATAAGCTTCTTACTGCGGACTTAAATCAAAACAAAGATGTTGCTGTTTATAGCCTGTGTATGCTATTAACAGGATACTTATTTAAGAAAATGTTAGCAGTTCCCTCTCTCTGTAACTAGTTTTGCGTCAAAAGTCTAGACAAGAATAATATTGCAAACTATTAAAGGTATCGTTTGGATTTTTTTGTCTTCTGTCATTCCTTTTCAGGGAGAGCTCAAACTGCTCCACGATGAAAATGATATGTTACGTAAAGAAGTTGTTAGTTTGGCAAATCAACAGACTTCTGGAGAAGCGACTGAGAACAGTAGCACTGAGTCATCTGAGAGACTGGAGAGCATATGCCGACTGTACAGACCCAGGCAAGGTAAAATTATCATGATAAGCTCTAGCCGATTGTGTATCTTGATATCTGATAGATTAAAATGGTTTCAGTCACACGCTCTGAGGATTCCAGATATTTTTAAATTAGTATGGAGACAACTGCGATTACCGTCTGTAAAGTATTGTAGCCTGTATGTAGCCTCCCCCTACCCTCAAGAAAAACAATAAAAAGAACAGAAACAAAATAAAAACAAAAAAACTGTGTGGAGCCCCTTCTTGATTTATTTTTTCTTGAGGGCAGAGGGCGGCTGTACAGAGGCTAATAAAAATGATGTTCGAAATGTTTTATTTAGTGGACACAGATGACGAGGAACCAGTTGAAATAGATGTGTGTCTCAGAGGATTTTCTGCTGCCCCTGTTGGTCATATTTCCTCCAAGGTGCAGAATCGTTGTTCAATTATATTTAATAAACAATTTACCTCGAATTTTTAACTTTTTTATTCCTCTTTTTTTGCAACCAAATAATTCATGGTTAGTTCTTTTTTGGTTCAGTCTCACTTGATTACATTTTCCATTTTAAATACAAAGAAAAAGGACATCCGCTTGGGAACAGTGATAGTAAACGGAGCAGACTGGAACGGAGTTATGGAAGCTGCTAGGAAGACCTTTGTGGTATGCGATAGTGAGCGCAGTTCGGCTACACATGAATAAAGGCTCAAAGTTTCTAATGAAACTGTGGTGCCAGGAACTATTTTGCCGTGTAACGTTAAGATTTGTGTTCAGTTTGCAACTCTATACAAGTCTTGAGATTCAGTTCATTCCTCATCATCCGCAGGTCATTTTGATTAAATTTTTCGATCAGGTGACAACTGGTATTTACCTGAAGCCTCTTCTACCGTCGCCTAAAAGAAATTGTAGGTCTGGGTTATTTCGATGCTTGTCGTTCTAATCGGTTTCAATTTTTGATTTTTAATTTGGTGAAGATAGATTTAAGAGAAGTGTAACAAATTTGTGTGAAAAAAAAAAAGAAACGAAAAAAAGACAAAAACAAAAGCGAAAAAAAGATGGGAGTAGGTCATTTTAGGGTATCTAATCGACCTACTTCCTACTCTGGTGTGCTAAATTTACTGTGACGTCACTGATCACACTGGGGTGAGTTGGTGGAACATTTGTATGTCGAGTCACCACAGTAACTAGTTTTCTGCGCTACGTCTATCCAACTAGTTTAGCTATTGTGACAAACTAATAAACAATCTTTGTTGTTAGACACAAGTAGAAGTGGAGAAACGAAGGGTATCTCTTTGCTTGCAGGATCACATGAAGAAAATCGACCCAGAGAACTACTTGTGTCTCGGAGCCCACAGCATCCAAGGTGTTCAAACAGGAGTTGTTGTCTGGAGTCCAGGTATAATAAGTACTCTTTTTTCTACTGTCGAAATTTTTATGACCTGTGAACAACTGCCCCTTCTGCATCCTCAAAGAAGCCAAATTCCTACTGTAGTTTCCGTGAGAGCGAACAATTGATTTCCCAGCTTTCTCTAAGGACTACGGTGTGTGTACTTTGACTGACTGGGAGGGGCGAACGGGGAAATATTGGGCTCGAAGTAATGACATCTTTTTCAAAACATGTTTTGCTGCTGTTTTTGCTAAGCACGGTTTCAAATTGTTTTCTTCTCAGAAGCTGTTTAAAGAAATGTTTGTCGACTGCACTTTGAAAATACAAATTAGTGACTACTTGAACCCTATGGATAACTCAGTTTTTTGTTTTCTGTCGTTGATTTTCATTCTGTCAAGTCTGGTTAACTTAACATGTTTCGCTGATGTGATCGAGGTATTAGTAAATAAGCATTTTTTATATGACCGCCTCTGTTTGGTCCTGTTTTCCTGCGTCCAACCTCTTACAAGGTTACGAATTTTTACGTCCCCACTCGTCGCCCGTAAGGACCTCATACGGGAATTTTCTTTTAACAGTGTTCAATATAAGCTCTTGCGGGGCTGCAAAGGGTTATAATCAAAATCAACCGACGACAAAGAATGTGCGTGATTGGCTGTTCAGACAATATTATGTATTTCCAACTATAATTTAGAGATATGTGATTTTTTCAGGTTCTCTGCGAAGAAGTTCTCCTCGTGTAGAGTTGTCAAACAAAAACAGTCCATGTGTTATCGAGCTCAAAGGCAAGTAGTTGTATAATTTCGTGTGTTTTACAAGTTTTACTAGTGGGTACGTTACTTATGATCCTGGTCAAAATTGATATTTTTTAAACTCATAACTCTGAGGAACGTTTGATATTAGTGATAGTATGTTCACATGGGTAAAAAGTGCTTTTCGTGCACGCTGATTGCCTAGTTCGTGTGTTTCAACAATTTACAAGTGGCTAATTTGCTTGTGATCTTGGTCAAATTAATTTTTTTTTAAACTCATAACTCTTAGGAACGTTAGATATTAGTGGTTAGTATGTACCACTTAGGTGAAAAGTGCTTTTCGTGCACGCTGATTGGCTCGTTCGGAAGTGATTAGCGAGTACTGTTCACTTCCTAGAAGCTGAAGAGGCACAATTGCGCGTCGTGAGTTAAATTTCCGACCATGGTTTGGTGTATTTACAGAAAGAAACTTTTTCTCTCGTTCATTTTTAACTTATCTCTCTGTCATACAATGTTCCACCTACAGATGGAAGCCATTTCTCTTGTGATTCTCTTGTTTATGACACTCTGCTTCCCAAAGAGATCATAGAGGTGAGATTTAGGAATTCGTCACTGTTGCCATTATAGTTTACTTTTCTTTCACTTCCAAGATCTGATTGTTAACTCTCCCCTCAAGCTGCTCCGAATTTCCTTGTAGCTGAACGAGAATTTGGTGTTAGATCAATACAACAACTTCAACCTGATGAATGAGTATGAGTATTCTCATTACCTGTTTGTTGGATGATGTATGGATATTATAGGGAGAAGTTGCATGTGAATCGTTTCTTAGAATTAAAAGGTGAAGCGTAATATTACTATATGGTGTCAATATGCAACTTCTTTTTGATGGAAAGTTGTCTTATTTTCACAGAATTATGTTGAACAGCTGCTGGAACACAGATGTATTGTTCTGTGTGGACAACAAGGGCTGGGAAAATCTTACTTAGCCGCCAAATTAGCAGAACATGTCGTTCAAAGGCAAGTCAATTTTCTTTAGAACCAGGTAACGCCGTTTTTTCTTTTAGCTTACAGAATGTATTTCCTTTGTGTGAGGTTTCTAACGTGTGAGGTGACGAATATGGGTTTGGTTTTGGCTGAAGGAATGAATTTTATTTAGACTAGTAAACAAAAGAGTGATGTACTCTTACATGTTGACGCATGGAGAATGATGGCGGAGGGGGATGCATAACAAGTGATGGAGACGAGGGTGCATGGAGAATGATGGTAGGGGGTTTTATTTTGTTCGTGTGAGAGTTTCTGAGGAAGTTTTATTGGCCTCTTTGCAGGATTGGATGGAAGACATCCCCCGCTGTAGTTACCTTCAATGTCACCCAGACAACTCGAAAAGTAAACAAATCTGATTTTTTCCTTTCCTTCTTCTGTTGCATATTTTTGAAATTCGAAATGTTTATCTGGCTTACTTTAGTTTTTAGCGGTTGTCTACATTTGCGATGTTGTGTAGAGAAACATATTTTTATTCGTTTTTTTGTTTGTCTTTTCAATGCGAGATCATTTTCACTTATGCTTGAGCCACTTGTCAATTTATTACTTTATCCTTCTAGGAATTAAAACAAGGTCTTGCCCCTCTGATGGAGGTCGATATATCTGGGTATGTTTCGTTCTTGGTTATCCAAACTTATCAATAGTCAACTAGCTAAGGGTCGATTTGTATGCTCGGCGTTTGTCGTGATTTCTAAAGTCAAATAACAAATGAAAAAAGTTAACCGCCATGAGCTTAACGGGCGTTCGTAGGAAGCGGTCACTTTCGAAAGTGTAGGTGAACATGGAACGTCCCCATTTCGTTACAGCTGACTTGTTTTCTATGCATTTTTCGAGGTTTCTGAAGACGATTAAGAAAGAAAAACAAATGTAGACTCCACGATTACAAGACAAACCTTCATTCACTTAGCATTTTTGCGAGTACCGCATTTCCTCTAACAAGCGCCCAAGCTCTAACAATGCTCTCCCCCGAAAGAGTCCCCACCCCCTGGGTCATAATGTCAAACAAGCGCCCCCGTCCTTCTCCCTCACTATCTTAAATAATAGGAATACAATTAAGGCCCTCCACAGACTAGGGATTTAGTTGTCGACAACTATTTGTGATCGACCACTAAAAGTTATCGACAACTAAATAAGTCCGATAAAAGGATTCCACACACTGGAGCTCAAATACTGATTTAGCAGCCAATACGCAGAGAGGTTGGGCACCAAGAGCTTACTGCGGATGCTCCGCATCGCCATAACGCCATAGCAACTCTTTCATCGACATCAATGGACTGCTTCATTCTTGTCGTTTCTCGGTGAATACGAGGGGTCAGTCTTTCAACAATAAGAAGAAACTTACCCCTGTCTACTCGCAAATTGGTGATAAAATCGCCGTCATTCCAGTTTCTACGGCACGTTGGCCAAAATTCCCTCGAACGAACTTTGCGCCAAATTTGCCGTTCAATCGTTTTGGATAAAATATCCTGCACCAGAACTTGTTCATGGACACTAGGTGCCGCAATAATGACATCGTTAGTGTCCTTTTCACTCCAAGAACAGGATGTGGAGAAGAAAGATCAAAAAGAATGTTTTCTTTACCGAGCCGGCTGGAAAAGCCGCTGACATAATAGCGCGGAGATTAAAAGTAGTCGACAACTAAAACAAGAGTTTTCACACACTAAAAANTATTTAAGTGCCCCTTTTTCTATAAGCACTCCATACTTTAAGTCGAGATTTTAAATGAGCACTCGGTCGTTTATTCGAAGAAATACGGTAATTGTGGAACAGGTCAATACGTTGTTTAAATATTCTGCTAGGCTAAGTACCAACCTTATAGTTTGAGGCTCTGCATTAAGTCTAAGGTAGAGCGTTTTTTCTGAAAGAGTGTTTGGCAGGTTGGTTTTTTAACACTCGTCAAGATGCATAATTTTCACTGTGTTTTTTTGAACAGTTCCAATAAGGACAGGCCAGCTGTCATAATACTGGATCAGTTGAATTGCCTGGCTTCTCTGGCTGACATTTTCGACTTCTCACAGCTGGAGAAAAACAGCAATTGGTAAGTAGTAGTATGGGATTTACATGGGTAGTAGCCCCCTGGTCACGGTACACCATGATCAGTCCCTCTTTTCTCGCTGAGTCCCGGATGCGAATAAGAATAAGTCGACGCCACGGTCCCGAAGTCTAGGAGCGACTGGTGCCGACAACTGTTCTACACCGATTTCAGATTTCAATCGACCTTTCTATTGTCGAGAAGCGTTTTGTTTTGGTGATTTGCATTTTATGTTTTTGTGATCATGATTGTGTCATGTTCGTTGCAGCCCATATATCATCGGTGTTCGAGACAAAAGCAGAAAAGGACCTTTCTCTTCAAAAGAGCTGAGTCTGTGTCATTACTTTAGGTGTGTATTTCAATATAGTTTTAAGTAATCATTTGGTTAGCCGGCCACTGAGGAAGAGAGGGAGTTTTTTTTTGTGACAATCTGTTTGTGTTTGACCATCTGTCAGTGTCTGTTTACTTGTTAGTGGCGTTTGATCTCACCCATTTCCCCGTCCAGTTTTCGTTCTTCCCACTGTTCTCATTTTTTAGCCTCCGCCCCCCGGTTAGCTCAATTGGTTAGAGCGCCGGATTGTGTTGTGCGGGAGGTCGAGGGTTCAAGCCCCGGCCGGACCAATACTCATGGTTTTAAATAACTGAGGAGAATTTGCTACTTTTCTATAATATCAAGGAATGGACAGAGATTCTAGTCTTCCCGGATGAGGACGAATAAACCGTAGGCCCCGTCTCCTGCAGGGTTAGGGGTAGGAGACGTTAATTAACCACGTTCGAGATTACTGTGTGGTAGATGTCCTCCCCTGGGATGGGATAGGTGGGGAAGATAGCAGGTCCACATGGGCAAATTGCTGCCATAAACTTAACCTTCTCAAACAAGTAAAGATAAATGAATGAATGAATGACATGTAAAACAGATCTTTAAGTGTCTACTGCTTCATGTCAGGTGGCTGCGAGTGTCTGTAAACGACCGACAGTACAGCGGTGTTCTCAGCAGATTCTTGAAGCGTAAACTCAGTTGGAGTGAATTGGAAACCAAGTAAGTACCTCCTCAGTTATTTTCTGACCGGAATGTACAATCATATGACGATTTGCACTGATCCGTTATTTATCTTTTTTTTGTTCAGTGTTGAAAGTGACGATCTGTTAGAGTTATTTGATTGGCTGTCAAAAGTGTGGTACCACCTGAATGAGATTCTGGTAGATTTTTGCGATTCTGACCCCACACTAGGTATTTACTCTTGACTTTGTGAGAATTTCTGCTAATTTAAATCAGCATTATTTCGAGTGTATGTGCGAAGGAAATCTCAGTTTTGAGTAAGTATCTCGTTCTGAAAAACTTTTCCTAATGATATCCCTTTCTCCAGGTCCATCACTGTTTTACTCGTGTCCAATGGACTTCAAAGTTGCTGAGGGTTGGTTTGTTAATGTGTGGAACTATAATGTGATCCCGTATCTACATCAGACTCTGCGGAGTGGAAGGAAGGTATTTCAAGACGTTTTATTCCTATGCAACTTTTGTTGTAATTTTTGATCAGCCAGCAGCCGTTTTTCGAGTTCGTCAC